AGTGTTGAAACGTTGGGTCTTGATTACAATTCGAGTTCTTTGATGTATGGTGTTACTGTACCCATATATGGTTTATCAGTTCCGTGAAACTTTACTTGTTTCAATGGAAAGTACAGATCGAAGGCGTTCTTTACCTGCGAAGTAAAACATTCGGCTAAGTTATCAGTGCCGTGGGGTCGGGTCCAACTGTTTTAAACCATTCATGCGTGCTAGCCCAACGACCAAAAGTATTAAGTGCTGCTCGTGAATAACGACGCACAGAACGTTTAATTTTTTTTTGTTACTAACATTAATTTTCCAGCATGGACAAGCTGCAATTAAACCTAAATGGACAAGCTGCAATTAAACCTAATAAAACACTCCTGCTCGTCTAGTAAACAGTACATTACGTTATTTAAGTATAATTCTATGAGTTAGACTTCGTGCGCATACACAGTTTATGAATTATGTATATATTTTTATTTTTTATTTGCTGATTCGCCCAAGATATTGAAATTGCACATAAAAGAAATAAACTATTTACAAGAGGTGAGCTAGGAGCCTACTAAAAACCATATGGCTTTATAACAAACGTACTTGCAGGTTCGGTGAGTCCGGGATTGGACGCACCGAGGGTGGCTGGAAGTTTCCCGAACTTACCGAGCGAAGCGAGGTGAGTTCGGGAAACTTCCAGCCACCCGAGGTGCGTCCAATCTCGGACTCACCGAACCTGCAAGTACGTTTGGTTTTTATCCCATACACCGAGCCATACACACATTTGTAGCTCTTCGCGATATATTCGCCGATGTTTTGTGAACATTTTCCCGGCCAAAAAAATCACTGGGCAAGAAAATACTTCTTTATCTACGTCTACATTACCTTTACTGCATTTTTTCTTTGGTTTTTCTTCAGTCTCGGTATGTTAGTAACCGAAAAAAGTTCTTTAATTTAAAGTTTAGGTTTATCGGCTCAATCTTGTCCGCCATATTTGTTATTGTTATTGCAACGTAAGCAGTTTAGCGGGTGAGCTCCACTGAGCTGTATAATAACTGGAGGACCTGCTCCTATACTTCGTTCAGTCAACCAAGTGAAGCCAAAAACATGGCGGATTTTGAGTGAAAATGACGCCATTTCCATGACTACTGGTCCCTAAATTCATGGTAATTGCCACTGAACAAGGCTCAATTGTGCGCCCGCCACAGTTTTCACACCCCCCTGGTTTCTGAAAAAAATATTTCGGATTTTTGCAGTGAATTCTTGTTGTTTTGTTATTTTCGACATATTTTTTCGACGTTTGACCATTTGTTCAAGGATGTGAAAGTCGTACACGTTATTCTCGTCCGTGAAAGACAACAAACAACTATTAAAACCTCCCAAAATGTGGACAAAAACGATATTTCAAGCCGGGCTATAAACAGCAGTCTATATTTTAATAATATAAACATGCAGTCAACTATAAACAGGTAAACATTTTAAAATTCACATTTTTATTTTAGTATTTCATGAAAAAATGTTAGGAATAAATGGTAAAATGTACTCTATTTTCTAGAAAATAAGCCACAAGTGTTTATAATGTGGTTGTAGATAAACCTTTTTGTATTAATTTACTGTATTAACTTTATGACTTTATGCAATGTTTCATTCCTCGCAATATCGAGTTGCACAACAGTACATGTATGATGAAACTATGATGTTCTGGTGTATTAAAGAGGAAATTAAGGTTTTATATATTTAGCCAAGGGTTTTGTTATGCAAGAGCTTGTGGTGAACTGGTGCAGGAAAAAGCTCAGCTGCCTGAGGGCCAGCTGAAGTGAGAAGGCATGTTTTATATCCAGAATTGTACATTGTAGTTTTAATATGTGCTCTCTGATTGTATTGTATTGTATCATTTGTATGATAGTTTGTTGTATGTGTCTTTAAAAGGCCATTAGCTTGTTTGCCCCATCCCTCAAATATTAAGTTAATTGTGAGTCTCTAGTTTTGCCATATTGCAGTAAGCAAGACTTTACTGTGTGGTTATTTTAATATTTTTATAGTGGAAATTCCTTTCAATTTGCATGGATAACCTGGCTCAGTTTGAGATCTCACTTGAACAAGACAAGATCTCTAAATGTTAGACAAGATAGTTACTAACCTGACTGACTTGGTCAAAATGAAGTCAAAACAACAAAATTGGTCATGAAAATAGTGTCAAAACAATAGAGATGCAGAATTTTCCAACAATGCATGAGTCCATGCCACTGTTGTTTAACTGTTAATGAAACTCAGTACCAAGCTGCAACATGTTTGTAAATTAAAGATTCAAAATCATGATTAATTTTGTATTATTTTAATTAAACTTGGTCAAAGAAAAATTATCAAATTAATAATTATAACTGTACAATCAAGTTACAATATGTGATAGAGTATTATTATAACTGTAGCTCCATGGGTGATTCTTTGGCTGTCCCCTGTTTTGATGCCTTGGGCCATTTCTTGTAGTACATATAACAGGGTTTTTTTCAGGATTTTCTCTAGGGTCCGTTTTTGCAGAGAAGATTGAATTTAGCTGAACAGCTGTGGTGGTTGCACCCCCCCCCCCCTACCGGGGGGCTGACACTTGTACTCAACAAATGTAGTTGAGACGGAATGTGTTAAAGCAGGGGCATTGAGGGATACTATAAACTGGTTAACAATGGCGAATGCATAGTTTTTCTTGTGTTGTGAGATGAATTCCAGCCATTTTTTCTTAATTGTCGGGTTTCCAACTGAAAACTAATTTCCACACTTCACAAATTTAACTCAAACAACTTCATTTTTACTGCACTGAAACTTTGGTGAGAAGATTGAGTTTCAAAACTCAATTCAAGATTGAGTTTTTCCCTAAAAAATCCCGGAAAAAAAGCCTGATATAAGACTTTGGAGAAAAGTCATTGTTAGTTTTTCCAGTTACGGTAGGTCTGGGAAGTGCCACCACTACTATAACACCACTATTCTTGTTATGTGAACATTCCAAAGAACTTGTCCACATGACTTACATCCCGGATCACCCTAAATGAGAAATGTCAATTATATTTATAAAATAGTGACAGCTAGTATCATTAGAACACATATTGAAGAAATAGTGAGTCACATATACCAGGCTCCAAAGTCCAATTACAGGGAAATTTACTGTAGAGTAGACATTATTTATATGACTGAACCCATTGAGGGGCAGCACTCTCAACTTGACGAGTAAAATCGTCTGGCATTGGACGGAGTAAAATATTGTAGTGGGGCGCATTGCCACTTAAAGGATTAAAAATGGGTTCATTACGGATGAAATAAATTGATCCAAGCATTTTTCACATATGAGTTCTGGCATTTATAAGCCCAGCTAGCTTGCAACCAACTTTAAAGCATGCAACCAACTTTAAAGCATACAGCAGTTAATTGCAGGCACAGATTTTCTGGGGGGGTGTGCACCCCCCCCAGAAATTATTTGCACCCCCCCCCCCAAAGGCATTTGGCACCCCCGCAAATTACATATATTTTGATTTGATAGTTTCATATTTGATTATTCTTACTATTAAATTTGTAAAATTACCAATATTATGGTCTCAGATCTCGCCATGCAGGCCTAGAAAACAAATTTTGTTAAACTTTTTCCTTGACCTTTCCGGGCGTTGCCACCACGCCCCGGCCAAAGCAAGCAGCAGCACCCCCCCAGATATTTATCCACCCCCCCAGATATTTATCCACCCCCCGAACGAAAATATGAAAATCCGTCTCTGGTTAATTGCACCCAAGCTTATTATTTTACTCAGGCAGTCTAATGCCTGACAATTTTACTTGTCAAGGGGACAGTCTTGTCAATTAATTGTATTTCTTAACTCCCCAAAGTTTCATTTTACATTTAATTACAATATATCACAAATGATCTAAGTGAGAAGGTTCACAACAATCACAAATAATATATCTAACTGAAATTTGAGCTCTACTCCAATACTGGGGACCACTGAAACCTGAAACTGCTCTCAAACATATCATCAATCAATTTAGGTTAATTGTCAGAGCATAAGGTTGGTCAATGCCGAGGTGACTGGCACACATATTGTGCACCTTTCATTCCTATATTACCTCTAATGACTGTGGGATTTATAGAACTCTGACAAACTATGTTGGGCAAGATATTGTAAACCGGTCTCTGAATGTAAGCCAGCTAGCCCTGGGCTTGTATTCTAATACGTATGGCTAAAGCTGCATTAATAAATATGCCTGGAGCCAATTGTATCAAGCCTGTTTAGCTTAAACGTTGGTTAAGCTCAAAATAGAAAGCAAGTCAGACTCTATAGATTCATTCAACAACCAAACTAGAAGTTTTGAACCTTAACAGAATGATGTTTACAACTACATATTCAGTGCAGAATATTTAAGTTGACTGATTCATGAGAAATTAAGCTAAACGGGCTTGATGCAACCGGCCCCTGTCAAATAATATAAGCCCATGGGCTTGTACACACAGGCCTGGCTTACATTAGAGGGGGGAGGGGCTTATATTCGGAATAGCCTGAGTAAATATGATGGGATTATACACATGGGGGCTTATATTGGGGGGGGGGGCTATATGTTTATGGTAATTGCTTGATTGCAATGGGTATTGAATGGTTTGAACCCGATGTCTTTGGCCTAGCCGCCTAGCTAGCAAAGTATTTGTTCACTTGTCTACATGTCATGTAAGTGAGATTTCATATAACTACACAGTAATTATAAACAACTGCTGGCAAGAACCTGGCAAGGATATCACTCAAAGTTTGTCAAGGAAAATTTAATATACTAAAATACTAAATAAATACAAGTGTGCAGACACTACAGCAAGGACTTTGAAATCATATTAACCAGCCATGAAACCCTACGCAA